TTCCCTTCCCCAAAAATGGTCATGCAAATTAGCAAATGTCAAACCACAAATAAATATGTGTTGGACGATGATACAAGATTCAACAAAGGATTTTTTTGTGTGTGTGCTGTGCGGCATTTGCCCACACTACTGGTGCACCATTTTGCCCCTGAGTAAGGAGACTGGGGTCAAAAGTTAAAGGGGCTCTCCCATCCCAACGAGTAACCAGACCTTGACGAGCTTGTGATGCGCCGAAGTAAGTGTCTAATAGGACGGTCCGGTCATGTGTCTTCAGCGTTGTGTGTACACAAAACAGTTCTGCTCAGCCTGACAGATCATTAGCTAAATCCCAGCTCCTTCGCAATCGCTTCGATGGGGGCTCCCGTTTTGGGGAGGGGGGGAGGGGGGGCAGGGGGGATTCTCCTCTGCTGGCTGCTCACAGAGCAGAACAAGAAGCAGGCGTTGCATGACTGACTGGTCTTTGGCGGCCGAGGAGCTCGAACCCTTGTGTCTTCCTATTGCTCTCACAGGCTCAGCCAGCCAGCTCGCTCTCACCCGCTGAACCGGCAGCCATCGCTCACGCTGCGCTGTCAGGACAGCTTTTAGAGAAGGGGGGGAGGGGGGGCAGGGGGGATTCTCCTCTGCTGGCTGCTCACAGAGCAGAACAAGAAGCAGGCGTTGCATGACTGACTGGTCTTTGGCGGCCGAGGAGCTCGAACCCTTGTGTCTTCCTATTGCTCTCACAGGCTCAGCCAGCCAGCTCGCTCTCACCCGCTGAACCGGCAGCCATCGCTCACGCTGCGCTGTCAGGACAGCTTTTAGAGACGCTCGCTGTGTGTGTGCTTGTGTGTGTACGCCTGTTAAGCGTTCATGCTGCATTACGGGGAGGGAAATGATCCCCCCCAGCACGACGAGAGGTCAGCAGGTCTGCAGAGCGAGTGAGGAATGTAAAGTGAAAAGTCATCCCTAATGACTCGCCCTTGTCATAATGAGCACCTGCTTCAATGAGTTTCTGCGGGTTCACTTCGGTGACACGCACACGATATTGCGGGAGGCCATGGGGAACTGCCTCATCGCATTTGTGCTTAAACATTCTTTCAAGCTCCATTTTAAACCGGCATGGCCGATTGTAAGTTAAGTTGGGTGTACAGATCATGAGCAGCCAAAAGACATTGAGAGGACTTTGCGGCATTCACGGGCTGTGAATTTTTCGCCACCTCTAATATCACTATCACTACATACTGGATGCCCATATACTACACAACAATTCAATAAAACACCACACAACGGAATCATGTACATCATCTGGTACAATTCCTAATCAATAGAGGAAACCCCACCTACCTAAATCCATGATATAGAAATACCCTGTTTGAGGACTCCCTAGTACATCCTCAAGCGTGTTGTTGTCGCATTAACGGCTCTTATTTTTTAAGGTCTTCAAACACATTTTTGAATAATACAAAGAAAAACATAAAATATTGTACAGGTCCCTGTATTTTCCACACTATAAGGCGCATCTAAAAACATTCAATTCAAAAGCTGACAGTGCGCCTTATATTTGGATCAATATTCTGATTTCTTGGACGTAGTATTTTAATTGTTCAGTAAAGCGCTTTGTTACAGCTGCAGCGGTTGTGAAAGCGCTACGTCAATAAAGCTGTATTGTATTGTATTCTCTTTAGCGTAGTTTCATCTAGTGGATGCATAACGTCACCGCAGCTACTATTTTAGCGTCTATTCTATGCACCTTGTAATGCAATGTGCCCTCTATATGAAAACAGTTTTAAAATAGGCCACTCGTTGAAGGTGCGCCTTATACTCCGAAGCGCCTTACAGTGTGGAAAATATGGTAAAAGGGAGCAATCACAATCGATGAGACAAAAATATTGTATAGCGTTACAGTGTACCGATGTGTGTTTACAAAACACATTCTATTTTTTCCACATTAACAAATGTGTCATCTCCTAATATAAACCAATAATTACGCCCAAAGATCCAAATTCTAATATGAATCGACAACCGTGACTTTCTGTACACATAAAAAGCAGGATTACACAGAATTCAACGTTGAAAATTGTTCAGCACAAACTTGGCTGAGCTTGAAAAACTGTTGGCCTTACTTCCTACCTTTTGTCTTCCTTCAAATTTACACAGTGTATAACAAGAGCATTTTGTCATCTTGGGGCCAACAGTGAAATTACAACATAATTCAATGCAGGGAGTATAAAATAAGAGATGTGACAGTGCAAGAAATATGCAAAAAGGCGGGACTGAGAACCCGGAAACGGCGATGGACGGCATGGGGGTGATGAGCGTTACTTTAATTGTTCAACACCATGACAAAAAAAAAAAAGAAAATTCACCGATACACAACATACTAAACAGAGATACCGATTTTAAAATGTATTGATGAGTGGACATCCCTACTGACATAGGATGAATAGTCAAATCTAGCTTCCTTCAAAAAAATAAATCAGAGGACATTATTGATGGCCAGTTGGCTAAAAATTTGAAATGTGATGGTTTGGAGAAATGTCTTTAACTATAGTTACCGTGAACCGTCCAATTGTTAATACAGTTCAAGTTACATGGACCAGCACTACAGATACCAAAGGGTCCAGGCAGATTCAACTGATATGGCAACACATGACGGAGGAAATCTGACGAGACTAAAAATCTACCATCCACACACACATACGGAAACCGCTACAGTCAAGAGAAACATTGTGTCTTTTTGTCTTTCACTCAAAGTGAGCTGGGATAAGCTACGGCCGCTCCACCTCACTATTGAAATCACTGATGATGACAAACCGAGCCCATGGAGAGCAAAAACATCCTCTAACTCCTCATTTGGTTGAAGGGCTGCAACTGTCTGAAATGTGAATTATTTACACCGACAACTTTGAAGGGGAAGAGCAAAGATCATGAGCATTTGTCTCAATCAGTTGTGTACTGTGAGTTGCAACTTCAAAACGTCAATGAAAATGGATAAAAACTGTTACTTTTGGTGATGTGCCCGATATTACTTCCACCCACCCATCCAGTTTCTGCACCGCTTGTCTTCTTTTCGGGCCGCGGCTGAGATTGAGTCCATCCCAGATGATTTGGGGAATAAAGCGGGGTGTACGATGGACTGTTTGCAACCAAATAAATCGTAAACCCATACAGACACAGACAAAAACAGTCCAAAATCAGTGTTCCAGTTCAGCAGCTGCGTTATTCAGTGGCTGCAGTTGAAGGACGATGAAGTCATAAATCCATGCAAAGCTTCTCCCATTGAATGTTGAAATTCAGTCGCAAGATGTTGCTTTCTTTTTTTTTTTTTTTTGAAGGAGGCAATGCGACTGTGATTTCCCGGCCCTTCCTTGCAAAATAGCCCTGTAAGTTCCCAGACAGTTGCAACCAATTGCAAACTTAAGATCTGTTCATATAGTCCAAATTTGTAAAGGTTCTGAAATGATGGACTACTGTATATCTACAGGAAAGTGGACTGAAAAGTGATTGTGTGATGTGGGAAATTATGTCAGGACATTGGCAAAAAAAAAAAAAAAAATCATCCATTCTTTGAGCTGCTAGGTTAAAACTAACACACATTGGGTGAAATGGCAAGCCCAGCATTTGGTCCAAAAGGGACCCAGTCAATGCTGTTTACCAAGTAAGATGTTGATCCAACAGGGTAGGAAAAACTATCCATGCTGATGAGACAGTTGTACCCTGACTTACAAATGACCCAATGTGAGTCGTTCGGAGTGAAGCTGCCACTCGCCGATTTTTTTGTCCTGAGTTGCAAGGAAAAATTAAATTTACAAGCACAAGATGGTGGCAGTGAACTTCATAAGAAGCAACCGTTTGGCAGATAGTGAACAATTTTTTATGCTAACACGTAATGGAAAATACCATAGACAGGCAAATTATTCTAACTCGGGTCGAACTTTTTAAGCAACTGATGTCCAAACACAAATGTTCACAGATAATATTCTTTTTCTTCGACGCAAAACAACTCATCTGACTGCAGCTAATTTGTGATTGTCTTCTTCTTGAATGCATAATATATTATGCATATATGGCACTGCCCTCTGGTGGCCAAGGTGCATTCACCAGCCAGAAGGAACCGCATAATGATTGAACAAAAGCAAGACACACAAACTGTTCACCTTCTATTTCATTATTTTGTCACTGTATGTTTAAATGACAATACAATGAAGCTCTATTTTACTTTACTTACTAAGCTTCCGATTTGGTAATTTGAGTTTAGAAATTCCTATAAATACTTTATATACTTTGCAGATATATATATATATATATATATGTATAAATTCAGTGCTTAAGAAGTCTGCATTGCTTACTTACCATTGCTACATGAAACATCTGATTCACGATTTATGTTTACGCCACACTTGTTTGGTAGAATTGTATCAAGTTGTCGCAGTAACCGCTTAAAAGAGAGCAAGACAAAGTGTTTTAGGAAGTTAACAACTCAAATTGAAATACATAAATTAACTGTCTGTCATGAATTCATGGTTCGTTTGCGTTTTAACGTAAGGCTAACCTATAGCACCAAAGGTTTTATGTATATATTTGTGATATGTTTTATTTGTAATACCAGATACTTAATTGTTTGTTTTGTTAAAAGTACATGGGAAGATTACTTTGAAAAAAAAAAAATCATACTAACGCTTTAGGCGGCAGAGGTTTTTTCAATAAAAAAGTCCGTTTTGATATCACTCTTTCAAAAGGTTGTAGCTGGAAAATGGTTTGAGATAAATGCACACTGTCAAAGTTGCTTGGTCCAATTTTGCTACTTTGGCGCTCGAAGGGTTGAATCGCATCTGCAATATTGAGGGGAAAGAACGATCATCATTACATGATTGTTTTCAAACTCGTGAAGCCCTTACCAACTACTGGTCTGGCTTGTAAATTACAACATTTCCAGTCAAGTCCACGTGCACATGGGAATAAGGAAAGACTCTCTCATGTAGACGGACCCTAATGTGTCATTTTTTCCCCTCTCCTCGCAGAGGAAGCTGACGGCGGAGTGCGTGTTCAGGGAGCAGTTTGAGGAGAACTGGTACAACACGTACGCGTCCACACTCTACAAGCACAACGACACGGCGCGCTTCTACTACGTGGCCTTGAACAAAGACGGCTCGCCCAGGGAGGGCAGCAGGACTAAAAAGCACCAGAAACTCACACACTTCTTACCGCGACCCGTGGAGATCGAGAAAATCCCTCAGGCCTACCGGGACCTCTTCCAGGACAGGTGACCGCAGCTTGGACGTGCGGTCCCGCTTCCAAGACGACGTGGCCACAGGGGGTTGTTTGCTACAAAACTGTTTACCGTGCGCTGAGGTCACCGCCTCGGCTCGCTACCAAGAGCACTGATGTAAACATCTTTGCGTGTTCCCTGATGTTGCTTCATTGCATCTGCGGCCGACCAAACCGGCAAGAGAGGACGCTCCGGTCGGGCGCTATAACCACTTTTCCTCGAGATCAATTAGCACTACGCTGGCGCGGAACCAACGGACGGTGTGGCCTTTTGAGGGGCGCCTCACGCGATGGGAAAGGAAGCACTCGAGCTAACGGAAGAGGAGGCACTTTCCCACATGGACCGAGAGAAAGGAAGGACAGGAAGAAGGCTCAAGTGTACAGTGCACGCATTGCGCAACATTCCTGTGACGCGTTCCAAATGGTCACGGACTGAAGCGAGAAGAGAATGTCCCGCGCTGGACAGAGAACACGACAAATGTGGTCTTCATCCAAGAGCACTTACTGAACCACCAGGACGGAGGATAGTATGGACGGCCCTTTGAGCGTTTATTCCATAGTAGCAGCGGTAGCATGCAGTTGGCAAGTAGTGCAGTTTTGCCTTGCTAGTCACATGTCGTCCTAGGTGTCCTTTAAGCCTACGAGCACGTAAACCTCAAACTGGATATCAAGGATGTCATATCAATGCTCCAAAATGTTTTTCCTCACTAGTAAGACAATTCGGCTCCCTGGTAAAGTGACTGCGTCATACGAGTCATGTTTTTTTTCCACCATTGCCTTCCAGTAAAGGAATGACGACTGATGTATTCGTAGCACAACTGCAAGTGAAGCAACTCGTACAAACTGGTAGAATGTCATCATGTCAGTCGTGGTACAAGCAACGCGCATATTGTCATTGAGTGCAAACTTTTGCCTCACTAACACGTAGATGTCGAACGAGTACACCAAAGTTGTCCTACTCCTGAGTGACGAATCAAATTCATGCTGAAACAGTTTTCCATCAAGCAACATTGTTACAATCTAGTTTAAGGGCCACATACTAGTACACCCTTCGTCCTCATTAAGTGGATCGATTGTCTTACCAGTGCACGTTTTTTGTTTTTCCAACCACTCCCTTCCACTGTTGGATGACCTATGTGCACTATAATAGGACAACTTTGGCAGACTAGTAGGACATACGATTTGCTAGTGACGTAATACTACTAGTGGGCATTTTGGTATCATTAGTAGGTGTCTACTCAGTCATTCGATTCGAGTGCTGAATCAATTTCACTCGTGAGAACAAGGAGCAGACTAGTACATGAACCTCAATCACTGCCTTCCATGATAGGAAGGATGAGTTTGACATCCTGGAAGGGCAACACCATGATACTATATTGAGTCAAAACTGTGCACTAGTTGACATTTGTGCACAGTATCACTAGTGACACGGTAGATGTTAACTAGTGGAATTTTACAATGTCACTTTGGTACTAGTAGCACACAGTTGTGAAGTGCACATTTTTGCCTCATCGGTCACATGGAGTTGTCCTACTAGTGCGCAATTAATCAAATCAATACCCAAACAGATTTCCTGTTGTGTATTTATTAAATATCCTTACAATCCATCTTAAGTACCACGTACAAGTACACTCTTTGTCCTCACTATTAGGACACATTAGTGCACTAATATAACAACGTTTTTTTCCACTACTGGATGACAATTTCTGCACTCTACGAAGACAACTTTGATATAGTAAAGGGGACCAGCGAAGCAAAATGTTGGTGCTACGAGAAGGGTCCAAGAGGATACTAGTGTGTAAAATATGCCTGCTAGTTGGGTCAAGTAGTGTTACTGTTAGTTTATCATTTAGATTTATCTGCTGACCAGTAGGCCAGCAGACATGGGGGGAAAAAAAAGTCATGCTACGAGTGTGTTGAATTGTCTTACTAGTACATTGAGATGGATCTCAAGGATATGGAATAAAAGCTAAAAGGGCTTTCCATAAGCTTTGAATAATCGGTGTGATCAATGCGATTGACGTGTGATGTTCAGTGTGTCAGGAACACTATTCAAAAGGCAAGCAGCCGAGGGGTACATATGGGCGATCCTATTTATGAGATGTAAAATATATTTATTTTCGACATATAAAGTATAAATATAAATCTATATATTTATTTATTGTAAAGACTCTATTTTGTAATGAACTTGAAATTATCGCGACCGTAGATTCTACTGAAATTACACCAATAAAGCATTTTTTAGAAAATAATAATAAATGATAAAGATTTGCAGTTAATATGACAATAAAATTGTCCTGCTATGTGACATATGCTCGTGAGACTGTTTGTGTCTGGATCCAAATTTGATGTACCAATTAAAAACATGTAGATTGTACTTGAGCTTGTCACTGTGTCTGAGTCATCATGAAAATGCTGCAGATTAATGCAGCACTAAGGCCTCTGTTTTTGTAATCAGCATAAATCCTGCGCAGTGTGTGGCGTTTCACTGCACGGAGGCGCTTTGGACCCCATGACAATTATTAAGATTATTGTAGCCAACACAACCAAAGTCAATTGGGAATTGTAAATTACTATAGTACAAAATACATTTTGTGACCTTCTTTTCTCAGGAGTACTCCAATTGAAATTGAAAAACAAAAGTGAAAATAAAAATGACCTATAATGCAAAATTCCAAATGGTAATTTTGCAGAAGAGCCCAGACCGGTGGATCTGCGAGAGGGAGTGCTGTGGCGCTGTGGGTGTGGTCACAACAACTTCAATTGTGGCAAATCAAAGTGGCTCCTTTCATTCCCATTAAATGCGCTGTGCTTGTCACGCATTCAATTCTCGACACGGACCACCGCTCCATAGCTGTGCTGCCCAGTTGGATTATTTAAAACACATAATAACAGTGATTCAGAGGGTTCAAATGAACAGCATGTCACATATTTATGAATTAATGACATCACTTCTACCTTGCACAGACGTAAGGTGTAGTTTAACTTTCTGCCGCCCTATTGTCACTCCGCCAGGTGCATTTCCAAAACATTCTGCCCAGCCCGACGGAGACCGGTCCGCCAAATTGGCAAACACGAGTAGTGAGCCTTATGCTGAAAATGAGGATCCACTGGCATTGGCGCTAGTTATGAAAATAGAGCCCTCTTTCAGTTTTAGTTACCATTTCAGTCGACCACTAAGGAAACATCAGCAGTTATTTGCTAGATTAAGCATCATCAACTTTATAGTTTCACAGTCACCACTATGTGTTCGACTTATTTAGGATAACTTGGTGCAGTGAAATTAGACCTTCAATGTCAAACATGACCTTCAAACATGACGTCCATAATCTGACTTTGTGCCTTGAAATGATGAAATGCTCCTTTTGATTGTGTTGTGAGTCATCGCTTTTTTTCAAATCCAAATCAAGAAGGCGGCTGGTTGCAGAGCAGCCAAGAGTTAAAAACATGACGGAATTCATTCAGTAATACATAAACTTGAAATACAAGTTTTCATTGGTCGCTTAGATATGAAGTGTTTACATACACACAAGAGGGGATGAATAGAGACATTCACGTCTTATTAAAAAGTCTTTCACTCATCCTCTGCTCCCTAATCACGATACAGAGATTACTGTTGCACGATTACAACACGGCGGATCAATGTCAGCTAGTATACCTTCTATGATAAATGTTGAACTATTGAATCATTTCTAACATTGTTGTTTTAAAATCAGTGTGTTTTACAAAATAATCCAACACCCCCCCTTTTTTTTTTTTTTTTGTCCAGCCATCAACAGACAAGAACGGGTCATGTCATTCTGGCTCGCATTGCTCTCTTGTCATGGATAAACAGACTTACAGTAGTTTTAACAATAATTTTGTACTGACTGAGCAAATTTAGGCTACCAAAATAGTACCAAACTATTGGATTGGATGTTTATAGGCCACGAAAAAAAAGGACTGGTGTAACGGACAATCGGCTCTAACGGAGGACCCCTTCCCCCATTTAGTCTGTTAAATGGAGGTTCCACCATACATACAAAAGAACACCATCCACACAAAGTGTAAAGGAATTTCAGTCGGGTTTACTTGATCTGAAAAGTTTCGGGTCCACGTCGCAAACGATAAACAATTGTCTTCCCGTCTGACAGACGACGGGAATGTTGTATAAAAAGAATTTGCGGCAGATCTAGTTTCGCAGAAGAGAACACGTTGACTCCCAGGCCAATTTGCCCCCATAAAGCCTTCAGCAAGTTAAGTGCACAAGCCCCGCTGGCTCAACAGTACACTCTTAGTCAGCCTTATCCACCGTACTAAATCAGATTCCTCATGCAACTGGATCCAAACTCATAATTGGCTTTACACATCAGTGTGGATTCGGGTAGTGATCGGCTGTTGGGTTGTGGGGGGGCCCACAGACTCAACTTGAGTGTCGTCTACACACAATGGACAGAAACAGCTGCCGGCTGCCCGGTCCAGCAGCGGGGATGTGCCGAGAAAACTGCAGCGCCGTTCGTCTGGGGGGACGGGATCAACATCTGCAATAGTTGTAATGCTCCTCCACTGGCAGATATCTGTGAGTGGCGAGGCGAGAGCATGATCAACCCCCGCCCAACTCCTGCCCCAGGAGGGGAGGAGAGGAGATGGAAAAGTCAAAGACGTGAAGGGGAAAAACCCTGGCAGGCACAGAAATGAAAACAATACATGGTGAAGGGAAAAGAGATGAAAGAAAAGAAGGGATGGGAGTGGTGAACTTGTTCACCTAAAAGACAACTAACCAGAAGCTCGAAATCCAAATTAAGGTCAAGCACAACAAAATCTGCTAAAGGCTGCTTTTTTTTATATTGCTGTTGTTGAATTGAAGGAATCTAAGTAATCACATTATACCGTTTGAATATTGAATATATATATATATATATATATATATAGAGAGAGAGAGAGAGAGAGAATCCCATGTCTCCATACATGGGAGAAATAAAAAGTACATTCAATACATCTAAGGTTATAACATTTATTTCTCATTTATTTCTTTATATTTCAGATAACCCAGAGAATTCATTTGGATAAAGAGCAAGAGGGTATGATTTGATATGGTAGGGTTCAGTTCGAGAGGGTATGATGGACCAAGTTTCTTGTTGTTTAACATTTCTTGTCTGGAGTGAATGTGGCACTTCAAAGATTCCTCTCTCCAATTCAATGTGTATCTTGATACATTTTAAAGTGGAACGATGAGGTTCAGAGTTGGTTTTAACTCAGGGAAATCACTTTTGAGTTGTATTTTGTTTTTTTGTCCTGTATGAAAAATGCTATATAAGTAAGGGTTGATTGATCATTGGGAAAACATGCAAACTTCACATAGCAAAGACTGAGCCAAGATTCAAGATCTTGAATGTGTAAGGCAGATGTACAAAGCACGTGTACACAACGCACGCAATAAAGAGTCAAAAGCGGGATATATTCATTCTTTTGGTCACTTTATTAAATGTTATATTAAATACTTAACAAGATAATAGCAGATTAGATCATCATGGCAAATGGTGGTGTATTTATTTACTAACATAAGAACATTCTTAAGAGGGCAAAAACAGTCTACACATATATGAAATACACCTTGTGCAAACACGGGAATCATGGAGAGACAACAGACTCGTCTCGCCCCACAAAACCCCTCGTCAACGGCACTGCCAGTTTGGAGCAGAACGTGTCAAAGAACAAGCAGCACGTTATCCCAAAAAGCTGCCAGGTGAAACTGAGGTGTCACAAAGCCAGCCTGCAGACACGCACGCATATTCAAGCCTCCAAACTAGACTGGAGCATCAGCTGGACCGGTTGTGCTTTGTGAGAGCCAGTCAGTCACCAGGCCGCTGGGGACCAACAAGTGGAACGTAACGATGAGAACGCACAGTGCTATGCTAGACATCACGCCAACAGTGAGAATGACAATGCTAAAAATAAAAAAGGTCACAGGGACCAGCAGTAAGTTTTGAACAACACAAGCATTCCAAGACCAGCCATGTTTTAAGAGAAACAATTAAAACCCAATGGGGGGGGGGGACTTCATTTTCAACTCATGTAAGGCCATCATTTTTTTTTTAATGGAGACGTCATTTCATCTGATTGGTGGAGGAATCTACTGGTTGTCACCAACCATACTGGTCCCATTGGGGTTTTAAAAGTGTACCGGTATAAAAAACGGTGTTTAAACATCAATGAAACCCTCTTTTAAGGAGGGGAAAGAATGCAGCGCTTTCAAGCGCAGCTAAACAAACTATAACTGACTTGACTTTAAATACATGAAAAATGAAGATATAGAACTTGAATAACATTAAGGCGGTATATACACTTTGTATTTCTGACGAGTTTCCCCAAATAGACCCCTTTCAAACAGTCATTTTTACATCAGGCTCCGCCGGGTCCCGGTCGACGACGGAATTATGACCCAGGTGGATAGCGGTCGAGCCTCCACCTTCTTTTTGGGCTCTCGTCTGACCCATAAAGATGGAGCGGTCCGGCTTGTGCTGGGCCCACTCGGTACCAGAGATCTGGTGCAACCTACAGGCCCTTCGATGGCCCGGGATTCTTGCCCATAGCGGCATGGGGATTCATTCCATGTAGCTGCTGGTAAAGGCCCAGCAGGTCCATTTGGCTGAGCCTGTTTCCTCCCAGCATGCCATTCTGCAGAGCCATGTTCAGGAGGCTGGTCTGGTTGGCCATGGCCAGCTGTTGCTCTTGGACCTTCCTGTTGTTTACCACCTTCTGGACGTACATCATCAGCTGACAAGAGAAATAATAATAATATTAATAATCGTGATGGGGCTGGAATAAACATGGGTAGTTAAGAAAAAAATTTTTTTTTTCGTTGTATGTTTTTTTTCCATGTGTCAACACTGCTTTTCGATCATTGAAAAGCACTTGCAATCCATTATGCTAAAACGAAATATTCGAGTGTGACATTGAGGTGCGCCACCACTTTTGAGCCCTTTTTCTAAACTACTTCACTGTCTGGAAGTCTGCAAATGTAACTTTCAGTTATTTATTTTAAAACCACCGGAAGGTTATTTTGTTTAACAAAAACTAATGAACCAACTAAAATTGAAGGAAAAAAAAAAAAAACATTTCCTTTCACAGAATACAATGAAGACGAGAGTACTTAAAAAAAAAAAAAAATCAAACTAGAACTTACGTTGATATATTAAAAAAAAAAAAAAAAAAGACTATAATTAAAATAAGAATGTCCATTTTAATTTTTGTCAATTAATATCATACACAGGCTTTCAGGGTTCATTTTAAATGTATTTATTTTGTTATTGCTGTACATTTGTACAGGAGAAGGAAGGCCAAACCGTCATTTTGGAATAGTAGTTCACATTTCTTTCACAATATTTAGTTAACCTT